CCCCCCCCTCCGTGTGCGCCTCCCCCTTGCCCTTGCTCACCGCTGGTGCCTGGCGGGCAGGAGCAGGTGTAGTGGTTCACCAGGTTGATGCAGGTGCCCCCGTTCAGACAGGGCTGAGACTGGCACTCGTCCACGTCGTACTGGCAGTTCACCCCCTGGAAGCCCGGCTGGCACTGCGGGTTCGGGCACAGAGAGAGAGAGAGAGACTCATTCACAGAGCAGAACAGTAGAGGAGCTGACCTCTGTATCTCCGCTGTTACGCCAGCCACTGTGCTATAATCTCCACAATTCACACATGCGGCACCTGATTGCTAAACCAGGTCACGGCAAAACCCGAGAGTTTAGAGCGATTTTGAAAAATTCCTAAGATAACCACGGATTTTCAGAGCCACAATGAGCGTAGGCGCCTGGTGAAGAAACCGAATGAGCAGAATCCAGAGACGGATATTGACTGGATTGATTTTTAGTCCAAAAAGTGTTTACTGAGGTCAACGAATTGCATGTAAACATTTCAACAATGCTGCATTATGCTTCCTCCCGCCCTCTCATCCCACCCCTCCCTCTCACTCACACGTCTTCCTAGGACGCCAGCAGTCACACAAATGTGCCCTGGAATAATTATGCATCAGTTCCAAAAACACCGCCAGTTTTGCACGCGGGGAAGCTCCCCTGCAGACGCGTGAAACGGCTCTGCCTGCAGCCGGACACGGCGCGGACAGCGGATTTCTCCCCGAGGAGCTACCCCCTTCGTCCTCGCTCTGTGCCCCCGGAGGGTGGCTCACCTGGCAGGAGTAGCCCTTGGGGTTGTGGATCTCCACGCAGGTGGCGCCGTTCTGGCAGGGGTTCGAGGTGCACTCCTGCACGTCCACCTCGCAGTAGCTGCCCGTGTAGCCGGCCTGGCACTGGCAGTGGTGGGTGTTGCCCGTGGTCATGCACTTCCCCTGGTTCTTGCACACGCTGCTGACCGCCACACCTACGGACAGGGGGCGAGGACGAGGAGGATGAGCGATCCGGGTCTCCCCCGCCCCGATCTGGAACGTCATTCTGCTTCGACAAGATGATCTGTACGGGAGGGCTACTTAAACCCTGAAAGGGAGAGATCTAGTCTATTCACTCATCACTTTCCTCAGCGAGACCACGGAGGAGAAATGTAAAGACCAGCAGAGGTACCGGGATACGGTTTATCAGTCATAGATGGAGAACTCAAATCATGAGAAGTCATTGTAACATGGCGCAATGGCGCATGGCCTCACAGGGAATATCGCATTACGTTGCGTCACCAGTACCAAACAACGGTACTGCCGCAAAGGAGAGCATCCAGACGTTTTCTTAACCCGAAGGGGATGTCATTCTGCGACACAGTTCTGTGGAGACTCGACTGACATACTTAAAATTCTCCAAGGTCAAACCAGCTCAGGGGGACCCTCCCAAGGTCAGCGGCAATACAAGGTCCCCGAGATACAAGCCACATTTAAACTGAGGGGACACTCAAAACATCAGGTGGGACGGACGCTTCTTCACGCAGAGGAATATAAAAGATCTGGAACCGACGCCTTCATCCTGTGTCCGAAACTGAATCTGTGGGAAACACTGTGAGAGAACTTGATGCAAATAAGCGAGATGGGCCACAGGGTGTCTCTCAGCTGTGACCTTTCCTACACTCTTATGTGCAAACCGTTCTGCAGTGGGAAGTCTCCCTTCCACCTCCTGTAACAAGGGGTTCTGACAGGCAGGGGTTGCAGGGAAACCAGGGTCGGGGACCTCACCTCTGCTCTTGGCCACGTCTTCGCAGGACATCATGGGCACGTCGCAGTAGGACCCAGTCCAGCCCACAGGACACCTGCAGCTCCAGTCGGTGCCCTTCTGCACACAGGTGCCCCCGTGATTGCACTTGGGGTCTTTACACAGGTCCATGAGAGTCTGCGGAAAAGGAGAGGTGATATTAACAGACAATGAAGCACAGGAGCAGCCCGCCCTCTTCAAAACCATAGCCAGAAATAAAAATGACATGTTTGCTGTTCACTCAGCAGTTCAACAGACATATAAATGCAAATGCTATTTGACTGAATCCCACTGCAGGAGCTTGTTCCAAGATGCCCAAGAGGAGAAGTGCTGGCCTTAATTCCAAAGTGGGCGTGAGGCGTTCAGATCAAAGGCACTGTTGCCATAGTACCTGGAACAGTGTGCTGTACACACACAGAAGGCACGGAAGACCCACAGAGCTCCTTCAACACCGCGTTCTGTTGATGAACGAGCCGCCTTTCATCAACAAGTTGATGATCAGTCCTTTTCCATTTCACATAATTAAACATATCATATGTTTAGCATGCATCATGACGTGGATGACTTAAGCTACAACTTAAAAAAACTTTAAATGATTTAGAGAACAACTGAACTGAAAAACACAAAAAGTAATAAATAAACAGTGCACATTCATTAGAATTTTAGGAAAGGGGCCAACAATTTTAATTATGTGGCTTTCAGAGCACCTTCAACTGCAAACAAGCACTTCAGAAGAAATGCAGTGCAACATTAATTCTCAGCTTAAGCAGCTCTAGTTCACTGGGTTGTTGTCACCCTGCAGTATCCCACCTCAGGCATTCTTTTCCTGCACATCCAGCTGTCCAGACTAACTCTCAGTAGGCCCCTGTCTGAACGTTCAGATTGACAAATTCTGAACTCACCCAGGGAATACAAGAGCCCACATGCTGTACATAAAAGTTATTCTGCTTTCCTGGAAGCAGAGTCAGTATTAAATATTAGGACAAATGAAATATGAAAGTGAATAAACAAGAGGGTTAAGCATGAGAGCATATGTCATCAACACAAAAGTCCAGGATAGCCCTTTCCTTTCATTCAAATTTAGAAATGAGGAGATAATGTGACCCTCTAACAGAAACAGGAGTTGGGGTGCCTGTTCGGCCGAGTCCAGTAACTACACAGGCACACAGACTCTGACGGGAGGGGGGTCTGGGAGCAGGCGGCAGGTGTTCACCCCTGACCTGGCAGTTCTTGCCGGTATAGCCCACCGGACAGGAGCATCGATAGGACCCCAGGCCGTCCGTGCAGGTGCCTCCATTCCGACAGGGGTGCGAGTCGCACTCGTTGATCTTGTACTGGCAGAAGGTTCCGGAGAAACCGGGCCGGCATCTGCAGGTGAAGCTGTTGATGCCGTCGATGCAGGTGCCATTGTTGAGACAGGAGCTGCCAAAGAGAGAGACAGGCCAGGTCACACAACACAGAAAGATACAGGGATCTGAAGAGTCACATAGAGACACAGACTGGGTCACAGAGCACCGACAGACACAGGGATCTGAAGAGTCACACACACTGAGAGACACAGACTGGGTCACAGAGCAC